CATTGACCTTACAAAACAGAACAAGACATTGCCAGTCCTGCTCTCTCTTTATGACCCTGGGTATGTCTGAGTCCATGGCTTCAGCCATTGTGCCAGTTCATCTCAGTGAGGGTTTCCTTCCCCTTCACAGATCCTCTACTTTACCAAAAATGATGTCCTACCCCAGAAAGCTGGAAATATGGCTAAGTAAGCAAGTCAAAGTCTTAAAAAATATTCAGTGGAATCCATGGTGCTTTCATTGGCTAATTTCTAAAAAGAGGTGACCAGTTCTTTCTTCCTAGTATGTCTTAGTCTGGAAGGTCTACTGAAACCTGCTGATATTTCAACTACCAGAGAGATAGCTTCCAGCATTACAGCAACATTCAAGCTACCACAGTAAAACAAAATGGCAGATAGGTGATGCTTCTTAAGCTAATTGGGTTGGACTTTTAAAACCAGTAACCGAAGAAATCTGAATCAGTCCATGTTGTTGTTGTTATGTGCCGTGGAGTCGGTCCCGACTCTCAGCGACCCTGTACAGGGTTTCTGAGGCTGTAAATCTTCACGGGAGCAGAAAGCCTCCTCTTTCTCCCATGGAACAGCTGGTAGTTTTGAACTGCTGACCCTGAGGTTAACAGCCTGATTTGTAATATAGGTGTGACTTATTTTGTGGGGTACTAAAAACTAGAGATAGGTGCTTCATATTTAGGACAGAATCCATTTCAGGAACCACTTAGTTCTCAAGATGGCCTGGGCTATCCCCATGTCAAAGCTTCCGGGACACACAAGTTGTGCTGGAACACACAGAAGAGCAGCTGGCAAGGTCCTGTATCAGCCATGAGCTGAGCCACATTGGAAACAGGTGCCTGCAAATGTGTCCTGCACAGGATTGCACACTCATAACCCACTCCATCACAGTATGGTGTGTTCTGAGTTTCCTCACACTCTGGCAAGACACTAGGTGTGTGTGTGTATGTATTCTTTGGTGGACCTGGTGAATAAGGAGTCCTTGGTAAAGATGGGGCGAGGAAAGGCTGGGATTGCATGGAACACTGGCTTTGGAAATCTCCCTCCTCAGTCTACCAGGATGAATGGAGGTTGACTTGGAGATCCAGAAAGGGCTTTTCTTTAGGAGCTATTTTACTAAAGGACACCCATTGAATTGCTGTGTGGGGGTCAAGCTACACTTTGTAACTGTGTAACTGACCTACGTAAAGGAAGTTCCATCTGTCTGCAGCAAGAACCGTTTAGATTCATTGGACCCTTAGAATTCCAGGCAGCCCAATCTTTCTGTTCCCGTAATTATATATTCAAAGAAAGCCAGCTTTTGGGCTGTATGGGAAGCAAGAGACCCACACTTATAGGATGAAGGTCTCGTATAGCAAGAACAGTAACAAAGAAGGGAGAAGGATGCCCCATTCTGACTGATGTAGCCATACTTCAGACCTGCTGACAAACATCCTCACATATACAATATGACATATGGACAAGGTTAGTCACTGCAACATTTTTTATAGTAGCAAAAGAGTAAAAATAGTCTGTGTCCATCAACAGAAGACAGGCTAAATGAACTATGATACAACCACACAATGGAGTATAGTGGTCTCAGTGGTTACAAAAGGACAAGGGGCTTTATGGATTCATGTGGAAAGATCTCCCAGACATTATATTCAAGTGAAATAAGCAATAGTGCTAATAGTATGCTAGCAATCACTGGAAGGAGTCCCCGTGTGGTGCTGTGGGGTGACCATTGGACTGCTAACCAAAAGGTCGATGGTTCAAACCCACCAGCTATTCCTGGGAAACCCTATATACAGGATCACTATGAGTTAGAACTGACTCGATGACACTTAACAACCTCAAGCACTGGAAAAGGACATCATGTTTGCAAAGGTAGCAGTGGCTGTAAAATGTCATCAAGTCAATTCCAACTCATAGTGAACCTGTCTAGGGTCTCTGAGGCTGTAAATCTTTGCAGGATCAGAAAGCTTCATCTTTCTCCTACAGAGCAGTTGGTGGAATCGAACCTCCAGCCTTGTGGTTCACAGTCCATTGCTTATTCTACAAAGCTACCATGTTCTCCTTACTAAGGTTGAGGGTCAGCAAAATGAGGGAAGCCCTCAGTGAAATGAATTGGCACAAGGGGCACAACAAAGTTTTGTTCTGTTACATGTAAGGTCATGACGAGTCAGCTCCCTCTCAAAGGCAGCTAGCAACAACCGTTAAAGCAAGAAAGGTTTAAAAATACAAATATGTACATAGAACTTCTTGAGTTTGCATAAAGAACCACAAAAAGGAAGTGTTTTCAGGGTAGATGGAGTCATGGGGGCAAGCAGACTTTTCACTGTGTACCTTTTAGTTGTTTTAATTTTTGAGCTATGTTGTATTTTTAAATAAGAAAATAATAATAGCACAATTGCTCCACTTTAGAAAGGCATAATTTTTATTATGTAAACCAGCTGTTTAAGAAAAAACTAGGGCAATCATCCATTGTGCTACATTGAACTCTGAAAAGCCAACAAAACATTTAACAAACATTAATCCCTGTCCTGCCCTAGTTCAACAAATGCTGGTGATGCCGCCTTGTTCTTTGCGGGTAAAAAATCGCCCCTCTTAATCTCAACACAGGACTTCTTAATCTCAAATTTCACAGACCACACCAATGTTGAGATGTAGCCTGTGGCTTTCTACCCTGCTGCTGTGTTGTGCTGTGAAACCAGTTGCCCTCAAACGCATTTCACCTCATAACAGACCCATATGTGTCAAAGTAGAACTGTGCTCCATAGAGTTTACAGTGGCTGGTTCTTCAGAAGCAGGTGGCTAGGTCTTTCTTCTGAAGTACCTCTGTATGGGCTAGAACCTTCAACCTTCTTGTTAGTAGCAAACTGCTAACCATTTGTACCATCCGGAGTCTTCCTCTGTGCTGTGAGGCACCTACTTTTCTGCTTACTGCGGCTCAATCTCCTCAACAGGTTCCCCAGGTCCCCAAGCCCCTTACCAAGAGCCCAACCCCTTTGAGGAGCATTGACTGAGCAGCCTCATTCCCTGCAGCCCAATTGCAATCACCTGCCCCACTTCTTAGATGAGTGTTGAACTCACAGCTAGTTGGTACACTTCCTGCATTTGGAGCCTCGTCTCAACACGCAGCACACCCTCCCATGGGAATGCTAGAGCCCCTTTCAGAAATGCTTTCTTCTTCTGACTCAAAAAAACGAACCAAAGAATTATCCATCCAAATCAATCAATTCAAAGGTACTCATTAAAGCACCTTTTCCAAAACTAAAACAAGGAGCTGTTAAAGGCATAGATTCCAAGTCGGGTTTTGCTAAGACACGTGCTTTGTTGTTGGTGTTGTTCTGACTCATAGCGACCCTGTATAGGGTTTTCAAGGATCAGCTGGTGGATTTGAACAGCCAACCTAGTGGTTCAAAGTCCAGTGTGCCACATCAGGAGTCTGAAACATGTGCTAAATATTTATCTTGGAGTGGAAAGGCTCTCCACGCTAATCCAGAACAAGAAAAGATCAAAGCACTTCCCTGAAAGCCCTCCCACAAAGGCTGAGAGATCGGAACTGTGTTAGTTGGGGTGGGAGGGAGAGCACAAGTTGGTGTGTGAGCTTTATAGCTGCACTCCATGGCCTCATTGTTGTTGTCCTTAAGTGCATTAGAGTCAATTCTGACTCATAGCAACCCTGTCTAGGGTTTCTGAGGAGTGGCTGGTAGGTTTGAACCACCTGTTTGCTATATTATTAAAGGAAATAAAACTGAAGGCATTTAAAATAAAGTGCCCCATGGTTTTCAAAATCATGATGATTTTGAGAAGGTTGGAGAGAAAAAGTTTTCCTGGCTGGCACAAGGGAGAAAAAGAAAGAGGGAACATCTCCCAAAAGAAAGAAACAGGGCCATTGGGTCTGTATGGAAGCTGAGTATTTTGTTTGTTTTGCTATTTGGTTTCTTCTCAGCCTTCATTTCCAGTTTTATATTTTACAGCTGTCATAAGACAGCGATTTGGAAGCCCAGTGAATTCAGTTCAAGGCCATGTTGTTCCATAAAATCTAAGTGTTGTTCAACTCAGTGAGGAAAGCTTTGAGGCTCTGAGATCAGGAGAGCTTATGAGAGTGGCAAAAGAAAGTCTGCTATCAAGGAGAAACTTGGCATCCAACAGCTGAGACATGAACTTACAACACAGAGTAAGACGAATTATTTTTAATAATTCTGTACCTGATTTGAAGGGGATATGAAAAATTAAGGAAAGAAGCGGTCTTGGTTTCAGTATCCTGGGGCTATGAAAGAAAGCTGGGCTAGTAAGATAAATTCTTGTTTTCCTATTGCTTATAAAAGCATCTATTATGACATAAACTATAAAACATCCATAATTACATAAACATAGGCATTTCAAACAGCAATTTATGTCCACTTAAGGATTGTTGCTGTTTTTAAGTGGCATCAAGTCAATTCTGACTCAGCAACCCTGTATAGGGTTTCTGAGGAGTGGCTGGTGGGTTTGAGCTTTAACTTTGTGGTTAGCAGTCCAGTGCTGATCCTACAGAGCCACACCATAGTACACAGCACAACATGACAGTCTACTCATATAATCCTGACTTGCTACTCTCGCATTAAGTGGGTGAAATGAGCTTGCAGAAAACTCTATGGTAGGGGGAGCCAAAGGGAGTCCCAGTATAACAGGTCCACAATGAAGAATGTAGTCTCAAAACCACAAACCCATATGTACACTCACATACATAATTTAAGGAGCACTGGTGGTGCACTGTTAAAGCACTTAACTGCTAACCGAAAGGCTGAGAGTTTGAACCCACCACTCCACAGGAAAAAGATGTGGCAGTCTGCTTCTGCAGAAACCATGGTTCTACTCTGTCCTGTTGAGTCTGTATGAGTCAGACTCAACTGTAATGCACTTGGTACATGATAGATTTGGCCAACTCTAACAGCTTCATCTGATGTTGCTCATAATTTCACACACATCCTCCTCCAAAACAAACAGGACTCTCCCCAGTTACTCACCTAGACCACCTTGACAAATGTCTGTTCGAGTAGCTCCACCAATGATAAACTGAGGGCTGGGAAACAGTTCCTGAAAGTAATTGGGGACAAACACAAGTTACAAGATGCTCAGTGACATTGGCTACATGGTAAGGAAACATTAAGACCTATTGCCCATTAGATCAGCAACAACTCATAGGGACCCCATGTGTGTCAGGGCAGAACTGTGCTCTAAAGGGTTTTTAATGGTTGATTTTTCAACATTTCTTCTGAGGCGACTCTCATGAACTGGAACCTCCAACTGTTTGGTTTGCAGCCAAGTGTGTTAACCATTTTTACCCCTAGGAGATCAGCTACTGTACATATAGGTTGTTGTTGTTGTTGAGTGCCATCAAGTCAATTCCAACTCACAGAAACCTTGAATAGGGTTTCCAAGGAGTGGCTGGTGGGTTTGAACCACCAACCTTGAGGTTCAGACTGACTTTGCGATCCAGTGCTTATCCTAAAGTGCCATACCAGGATTTCAACAGCATTCAGGTAGTCTTCAATTTATGACATATTCAAGTTACAATGAACCATGCTTACTACTATCTGTTTTGGTTTCTTTTTTCTTTTGGGTGGGGAGTTGGGGACTGGGGAGGGAGCTTCTTTACTATATATAATGTTGTAGTGTGCAATTCACTGATGTTATTCTCAGATTCTCACTCATAAAGTCTATATGCAAGATAAATAAGACAAAAAAAAAACTGGATTTATAAAGATACTGATAATAAAAGGCAATAATAATGAGAATGGAACAACAAAAAGTGAGGTATTTGACTTACATCAGAGCCAACTTGAACAGAGCCATCAAAACATAACCCCCTCGTAAGCTGGGAACTGCCTCAGTTCATTTTGTGCAGAGGACTCTAAAGCCCCGAGAAGTGAGGACACCTGCCCGTAGTCGCAGAGCAGGAGCTAGTCCAGAACTCCTGTGATGACCAGTGCTGTTCCTGCCCCACATTCCATGTTGGTATTGGGCGGTGAAAAGGTGGCAGGAGGTGGGAGGTAGGAAAAAGACCAAAGCTGGGATAATAAGGTGATGAGATATGCTCTCATTCAAAAAACATCATTATTTACAGACAGAGAAGATTAGAATGATGTTTGGCACTCTTAGCAAAATGCTTTGAGCCCTGTGGATACCCATTAAATACTTCACTAAATGATGATGATCCCATTAGCTGCTGGAAAAACTGAGGTGTCAGGAAGTGCCATATCCAGACAGGAGAACTCAACTCTGGTATGTTGCAACACCCAAGCCACACTTCCTAGGCTCACCCGCCACAAACTGATATTTGACATCTGCCTAAAGGAAGACTGTGAACTGAGAGTTCTGTTGGACACAGGATACATTATTTGTTTCCTTGAGTACTCCAGGTAGTACAAACAGTTAAAACGCTCACTGCGAATCAAAAGGTTGGAGATTCCAGTTCACCCAGAGGTATCATGAAAGAAAGGCCTTGTGATCAGATGAATCAGCCATTGAAAGTCCTCTGGGGCACATTTCTACTCTGACGCACATGCGGTCACTCACCGTGAGTCAGATTTGACTTGAGAGTAACTGATTTCATTCTACTTACAGTTCTATTTGTATCCTGCAAGGTGGGGGGTGGGAGGGCAGTGAGAAGCACTGTGAAATGAAGACAGAAAAAAACACAAAATATGTGGTTCTTGACTTCAAAGTGCTTTCAGTCTACTTGGGAAATGAAGATGATATGAAAAAAATCAGAGGGAAAAGCTGAATGTAAAATGATGCTATGTAAACTACATACACAAAGGCAGAACATCAAGAAAAGCCCATTTGGGATTCTAACTGAAAGACTATACAGAAGGGAGATGATGTATGGAGATTCCTTATAGAGGCAGCAGTCTATGGAGAACCTAACCACCAGACAAACCATTACCATGAAGGGACAAAAAAAAGCATCCAAACTAAATTTAATCAGAGTCAAGCAGGGTTGTGTGAGCTACATCAAGGACTCTCAACCACAAAGAGCAAGAAGCAGTTCTATCTTCTCCCACAGAAATGAAACCAAAATAATTAAACCCATGCCATGCCATTGACTCAGTTTAATTCATGGCAAACCTGTGTCAAAGCAATAACTATACTTCACAGGGTGTTGAATGGTTGTCATCTTCACAGCAGTAATTCACCAGGTCTGTCTTTCTCTTTCTTTTTTTCCTAATGCAATCATTGTTTGATTTCTTGACTGCTGCTTCCATGAGTGTAGATAGTGGATCCAAGCAAAATGAAGTCTTTGACAACTTCAATCTTTTCTTTCTCCATTTATCATGATGCTATTTATTGGTCCAGTGGTGAGGATTTTTGTTTTCTTTACATTGAAATGTAACTCATACCTTACTGATGGAGATAGTCTTTGATCTCCATCAGTAAGCATTTTAAGCCCTCTTCACTTTCAGTAAGCAAGGTTGTATCATCTGCATGTCACAAAGAGTCTTCCTCCAATCCTGATACCACATTCTTCTCCATATAATCCAGTTTCTTGGATTATTTGCTCAGCATACAGATTGAATAAATTTGGTGGAAGAACACATCCATGGCACACACCTTTCCTGATTTTAAAACATTGTGTCCATTTGTTCTGTTTGAATGTTTTAAAATTGGGAACAACTATTCTGTGTCCCCTTGTTCTGTTTGAACAGCTAACTCTTGACCTATGTACAGGTTCCTCATGAGCACAATTAAGTGTTCTGAAATACCCATTCTCCACAATGTTGTCCATAGCTTGTCATGATCCACATAATTGAAAGCCTTTGCATGGTCAGTACAGAACAAGTAAATATCTTTTGTTATTCTCTGCTTTCAACCAAGATCTATCTGACATCAACAAAGATATCCCTGATCCCATGTCCTCTTCTGAATCCAGATTGAATTACTGGCATTCCTTGTCACATATACACTATACCCCTTTTTATTGTAGTATATATATATACATATCTGTTGTTGTTGTCAAGTGCTGTCAAGTCGGTTCCAATTCATAGAGACCTTCTATAGGATTTCCAAAGAGTGGCTGGTTGGTTTGAACCACTGAAGTTGTAGTTAGCATTCCAGTGTTGCTTGTCCTACAGTGACACATCAGGACTACTAATAGTATATATGTATATATACTATTATATATATATATATATATATATACATATATATATGGTTTCTAAGAGCAACTAGTGGGTTTGAACCACCAATCTTGTGGTTAGCAGTCCAGTGCTTATCCTACTTTGCCACACCATAACAATATATATACATATATGTATACATATGTGTAAGTATATATATATATGTACATTTATGACTCACAATAATTCTGTATAGGATTTCCAAGGTTATGGTGTTGGCGGAGAATATTCAAAGTGCCATGGGCTACCAAAAGAACCAATAGATCTGTGTTGGAAGAAATGCAGCCAGAGTGCTCCTTGGAGACCAGGATGGCCAAACATCATCTCTCATACTTTGGACATATAGTCAGGAGGGACCAGTCGCTGGAGAATAATATCATGTTTGGTAAGGTGGAGGCTCAGAGAGAAAGAGGAAGACCCCCAGCCAGATGGACTGGCCAAGTGGCAACATTGATGGACTCAAGTGTAGCAACAATTGTGAGGTTGGCCCAGGATCGGACAGTGTTTTGTTCTGCTGTATATAGGGTCACTATGAGTCGGTACTCGATGGTACCTAACAACAACAACAACTACAACAACAAATCTTTGCAGGAGCAGAAAGCTTCATCTTTCTCCTGAGGAACAGCTGGTGGGTTTGAACCACCAGCCTTATTGTTCTTCAGATCCACAGTGTTCCCGTGCATATATATGTATTGTTGTTTTGTGCCATCAAGTCAGTTCCGGCTCATAGCAACCATGTATAGGGTTTCCTAGAAGCAGCTGGTGGGTTTGAACCACCAACTTTGTGGTTAGCAGCCTAGTGCCTATCCTACATCACCAAACCAGGACTCCATATGTATATGTATACACATATATATCAAAACATTTGCTATTTCAATATGTTGTACATCTACAATTCAGTGATATTAATTTGTTATCCATGTTGTGTTTCCTAAGCTATGAGTTGCCCTTTACACCTACCATTGTTTGTACATCTTTTCTTATCAGCACTTATCAGCACACACAGATCTCTAGAATTTCACTGTAAGTACCACAAGTTGTTTATCCAATCTTCTAATGATATAGTCCTAGTGTTGCACTGCAGGTTAATACACTGGACTACAAGGTCAGTTTGAAGTACAAGGTCCGAGGCTCAAACTCACCACTCGATCCTCTGACTAAACAAGGTCGCTATGTGTCAGAACTGACTCACCGGCACTTAACAACAACAGTGAATGATGGACATTTAATGTTGTTTCCATTTTTTGTTTTATCTGGTGGCAATTTAAAGGGAGAAGTGGCATCATGTGAGCTAGGTGGTAAAATGTGGGAGACTGAAAGGTCTGATCTTAAATGCTCAAGAGCTCCTGATCTTCAGGTAGTTCTCTTTGGTGCACAAAAGATAGAGAGATTAGGAAAAAAAAACAACAAAAAGGAAGGAACTAAATTTTTTAATTAGTATGTTGTAAAATGCTTTCTTCCCTCCATAACACCCATGACACCAATAACACAGCTTTGCAAAGAGATTGCATCTTAGCAATATACCCGACGAGTCTGTCTACAATCTTCTCTCTATTGCTAACTTTTGGTTGGAATTCAGATAAGAAATATAAAGTAGCTTGGGAGACAGACTTCTGTGCAGACATCCTCCCAACTTGGGGTGCCATGTTTTTCTCCCCTGTAATAACCACGTCTTTTTAGTAATTACATTTTACTCTGACTCACATAAGGATGGCAAAACACCCAACCCTTTTATAAACCTCTGATGCATGGATACAAGGAAAACATGGATATCAGTAAGTAATCCAAGGCCAGAGTGGCTTTAAAACCTTACCTGCTCAGTGATGACAGCCACTTGACAACACTGCTCTCCCGGGTCATTTAGCCATGTCCATTTAGGCTTCGTAGGCATGTCAAGAGTTCTGGGTGTGCACTCCCTTTCAGGAAACCCATTGATGCCACTCTCTTTATCAGCAGCACCATGAATAATGCCAACAATCCTTAGCCCTGCACTCCTTACACTCTAATCTGATCCCATTTGGTGTTTTCAGTCTCATCTCTTTCAGTTTTCTCTCCTACAATTACAGCTGATTATTACTCGCCTCAGGTAGTTGTGGTGGTTCATAGGTAGAGACCTTGCATGTTGTTATGATGCTGAACAGGTTTCAGTGGAACTTCCTGACCTAGATGAACTAGGAAGAAAGATCTGGTGATCAACTTCCTAAAACCAGTCCATGAAAATCCTATGGATCACACAATCTAACCTCTAATTGACCACAGGAATAGGGCAGGACTAGGCAACATTTAGTCTGTTGTGCACAGTGTCACCATGAGTAGGGGGCAAACTCAACCACAGCTAACAACTGTCTTTCTCATAAAACACTGGCATAACCCAATGTCTTTGCTTACACTGTGTCTTGTCTGTGACAGAGTTCTCTTTGGTCTCTATCCAGATCCTCTCCCTTCATCAAGCTCAGCTAAAATGTCTCCAGTAATTAACCTGCCCCGGTGACTCTTGAGGTTAAGCACTGGACTGTGAACCACAAGGTAGGCAGTTGGAACCCACCAGTTACTCAATAGGAGAAAGATAAGGTTTTCTATTCCCACAAAGTCTGAAACCCTATACAGGGCGGCTATGAGTTGGAACCAACTCGACAGCAGTTACCAACAACAACAATTCCACAGTTAAACTTAATTGCTCCTTCCCCTGAACTCCCATAAAATTCTGTTCTGATTTATAGTTCCCACTCCAGACATAGAATCTAGTGGCAGCTCATTGTATAAAGTACTTATTATATGACAGGCACTGTGCTAAACCCATTCTCTCATTCAAGCCTTAGGATAACCCAGTAAGGTGATAATATACTTATTCTTGCTTTATGGATGAGGAAACTGAGTCACGGGGACATTAGTAACATACCCATGGTCATACAGCTGTAAACGGCAGACAGGGAACCAAAACTCTGGCCCATCTGATATACAACCCATGCTCTCAACCACCTTTCTGCCTATCCATTGTCTACTTGCCCACTGTTGCTCTCCCAGCTAGCTGAAGCTCCATGAAGGTTCTTCTCTAGCACTCAACAAACCATTGGTGACTTGAAAACTCCAGCTCCTCTAGTCCAAGAGGCAGCAACTAAAGGAAGAATGGAAGCCATGAGCAGAGAGCTCTCCAGCCCCCTCCTATGTGAGCCTTCTCCCAACAATTCGACCTCTCAATGTTTCTATGAAGTTGGGTTGGCTACACTATGGGTCTTTACTATGTAATTGCCCTCGCCTCATCCCTGCCTCTCTATATTTTTTCTTAAGATCAATGAAGTATCTAATTGCCAAAAAGTGGACACTTCAGGGAAGAATATCATTGACTGGGTTGCAGGAGGGCCTGCTAACACTGGGCATTTCTCGAACCACAGGGCCTGGGCTGAGTAGTGACCCAGCTCAGAGGGGAAGACAAGAAGTGAGGATGCAGAGAAGCCACTGTTTCAAGAGTTTCCTGATATGTTCACACAGGCTGCCAGTTTGTTTGTGGTAGCACTGTTGTTCTGACCCAATGCTCTTGGAAAAAAATTGCCCTGGGATCAGAATGGCCAACAGCTCATCCTGAGAACCCCAGCTTGAACTTGAGATCTTTGTATGGGCGAACTTGTCATCCAACCCTTGGGACAAGAGCACAAACCCACCTTTTACTCAGTAACTTAAAAATAAGCAGAAATACCCAGCAAGAGAAAGTTGTAAAATTTTGTGAATTCAGAAAATCCAGTTTATTACTGAGAGGGCAGAAACATATATCCATATCTATATTTATCCCAGCTCATCAATTTTCCCCAAAAGGCAGGTGAAAATTAAACTTTCTATGGGAAAAGGGTCATAAGAACCACATCTGGGCAATGGGCCTGAAACCCCAGAAACTAAGGAAGTAGTATATCACCCTCAAAAGTCACATGTGACCTTACAATACATCTGATTTTTGGACACCCCAATCTGCTTGCAGATCCCTGAGAGACCTTTGGGGGTAAAGAAATGAAGTATGTCGAAACAGGTTGATTTTCCCAAGTTCTGAGCCACATCACTAATAGGGACGATCTTTGGGGACTCTGAAGTCAATTTAATGATATATAGGAACTCATGGAAGCAGCAGTCAGGATATCAAATGATGTATTGCATTGGGCAAATCTGCTGCACAAGTGTTCAAGAGCAAAGATGTCAGTTTGAGGACTAAGGTACATCTCACCCAAGTCAGGGTATTTTCATTCACCTCATATGAATATGAAAGTTGGACAGTGAATAAAATGAACCTTAGAAGAACAATGCATTTGAATTATGGTAAAAATGTTGACAAGTACCATGGACTTTCAGAAAAAATAAATCTGTCTTAGAAGAAGTGCATCCATAATACTCCTTAGAAGCCTGGATGGTGAAACTTTATCTCTTGTACTTTGAACAGGAGGAACCAGCCCCTGGAGAAGGACATCATGCTTGGTAAAGTGAAGGGTCAGTGAAAAATAGGAAGACCTCCAATGAGATGGTTTGGCATGATGGCAGCAGCAATGGACTCAAATGTAACAATTGTAAGGTTGGCGCAGGACCGGGCACTGTGTCATTTTGTTGTGCATAGGGTCTCCATGTGTCAGAACCAACTCGATGGCACCTAACAACAACAAAAATTTAGAGGATAAGGCTGAGTCCTCCAATGTACCTTGTATGTATGAACATTAGCCTAGCCTACAGCAGACATGAAAATCCATTCTGATAATTTAGGGTCAGTAGGGAGTCCTGGTGTGGTGCTACGGGTTAATGCGCTGGACTGCAAGGTCAGTTTGAACTGCAAGGTAGGTGGTTCAAGCTTACCAGTTGCTCCTTAGAAACCCTATAAAGGGTTGCTATGAGTCAGAAACAACTCAATGGCACTTAACAACAACAAGGGTAAGTTTTGACAAGCATTTATTTATTTGACAGGTGTCCAAAAACTCAGAATAATAGTCCTTTAGTTCCATATTAATCAGATTTCTCTGTCTTGTCCTCTGGATTTTATAGTTTATAGTTTCTGTGGACAGGCACAATCAGCACAGCCAGTCATCACTGGTATAGACCAGGTGAAGACATGGTTTAGAGAGAAAAGGCAGTGCAGTTGTTTCATTGCAGGGGCTTCAAAAACTTCAAAGAAAACAGGGAATCTAGGCAAAGGTTAACTGATACCTGGCTTTAGTCACTAACTAAAATTCCCCATGTCCTCAACCCCAAACCTTTGGAATCCTTCAATATCCAACAGAATACATCCTACTTTATAATCTCCAGCGGGAACTAGGATTGACAGTCTATGGCCTGCCCTGGACTTTGGATGGTATCAGTGGCAGCACCCAAGTGATCTTGCCTTTCATCTGCATTCATGGATCCATTGCCCCCACCTTCCAGCCCTCATGGAACAAAGGCAATTCATAAGTGGGCGTCACCCTACTCCTTTCAGTGATGCTGTCACAATTTGCTGTAGGACTGATTACGTCTATGTTTGTTCCAATGTAGACTGGCCAGGAGGCCTAAGCCATAATACCTACTGGGTATTCTCTGCCTACTATGTGCTGGGCACTATGAGCTGAGCTTCATGCTATGAATCCTCATAGAAATCCTGAAAAATAAGTTGACCTGTGGTAGCTGACCTGTTGCTGTAATGCTGGAAGCAATATCACCAATATGTCAAAAACCAGAGGGTTATCCAGGGCACACAGGTTTTTGCAGAGCTTCTAGACTAAGATAAACTAGGAAGAAAGCCCTGGAGATCAACTTTTAAAATTAGATAGTGAAAATCCTATGGCTCACAACAGAATATAGTGCTTGAACATGAACCCCCTGGGTTGGAATACACTCAAATACAAGTAACTGCAACCATGAGCTTGCACCGGCAATAACTGTGAAGATGGTACAGGGCCAGGCAGTGTTTCATTCAGTTGTCCACAGGTCACCATGAGTCAGAGTCAACTTGATAGCAACTAACAACAACAGCAGCACCATTATACAGATGAGTAAACTGAGGTTCACAGAGGTTAAGTGATCTGCCCAAGGCTACACAGACACAGAGTGGCAGAGCCAAGACTCAAATCCAGTTTGTCTGGTTCCAAACATCTCGACATGCTCTTCCCTTTATACTTCACCAAAGGGAATTTTTTAAAATGGGGTTGAGGTGGAAAGGAGCGGGTAAAAAGCTTTCTGAAATATGAGATCTGGGACCTTCAGCCCCAGAGTCCTGACCTTTCAATACCCCAGTCCTTAGACGCAAGTGAGAGCCCTCCATCTGCTATGACACTCAAAGGCAAGTCCACCTCCTTACCGTGGGCCGTTTCCAGATGATGCCTTGAGTATGCGGGGAGCCTGGTCCAAGGTCCCTATAGCCCAAAGCTGATGGGCATGCTGGAAATTCTGGGTCTTTAAACAGGACCCCTGAGTCCAAGCACTGTCGCCTCAGGGTCTCAAAGTCCTGGCCCAAGTACTTCACAGCTTTCTGGTTGGAGCCAAAACCTTTGTCTGCTGCCCGCTTCTTGGATACTCCAGCTGCCAGGGCTGCCATGGCCGTGGACTTGTGGGATGGACCAGAGGGCAGAGCTGCTCCACACACACAGAGGTCTGCCACACTAGGAGGGGAGCTATAAGGTAACTGCGGGAGGTGGAGCAGGCCAATGTCTCACCTGAGGTCCTGGTCCAAGGCAGTGAGTCACAGCCTGGAACAAATATGTACCCAAGGTGTAGATGGATCAGCCCCACCTCCTGCCTTTCAGCAAACCATTAAAGAAAGGAACTGAGAGCCTTCTAGGCCCATCTGAAACCATTAGCCTAAGAAACCCATTAGAATTACACCCACACCCACATCTTTGCAGGGCCTGCTTGACTCCAATTGGCCCCATTAACTGAGATGAGGTGAGTCATCACGCAGTATGAGGAGATTTGTGGAGAATTCTAAACATGAGGAGAGCTAATAGTTAGAGATGTCTTCTTTCCTTCCAAAGAAGTTTGGTTCCATATTTGCTAACCAGTACCAGCTGCCAAGGGTCTTGGTGTGGCGCTGTGGGTTAAGGCGCCAGACTGCAAAGCCATTTGAACTGCAAAGTCGGGGGTTCAAGCTCACCAGCTGCTCCTCGGAAACCCTATACACAGTCGCTATGGGTCAGAACCAACTCAACGGCACTTAACAGCAAAAATCAGCTGCCAGAGCATCAATTCCAGCTCATGTGTGTGGGAGTAGAACTGAGCTTCATAGGGTTTTCAACAGCTGATTTTTTTGGAACTAAGCCACCAGGTGTTTCTTCCAAGGAGCATCTAGGTTAACTCCAACCTCCAACCTTTTTTATGCAGGCAAGTGTATTAACTATTTGCATCACTCAGGGACTAGGGTAAAACTATCCAAGAAGGGTGAATCACAGATGGATTCAGCATAAATCAAACTGGAGGTCACTGAAACTTCAAAAGAAGGTTTAGCATCTGATTGCTTGAATTTCTATCACAGCTCCACCATTCATTAGCTCTGTCACCTTGGGCAAGTTGTATAACCTCTCTGCCCCTTCATTATTCTTAAAGTAGAAGATAATATAGGGTCTACTTCATAGGATTATTTGGAAGAGTAATGAAAGAATGGTTGGCTTGGAATAGTAAATAAGAAACACTCAGTAAATATTAGCATGCCTAAAAACCAGGACCAGATAGACAAGGTCTGGAGAGCAGGAATCTTGACTTCTAGCCTAAGAAATGAAGTACAGGCCGTGTGATCCTGACTCCAGCCTTCTCTGACTGGTTTACGCACAGTCCCTCGGTGGCACAAGTGGTTAAATGGTCAACTACTAACTAAAAGGTTGGTGTTTTAAAAGAAAGGCTTGGTCAATCTAGAGCTATAATGTAATTCCAATCCAGATTCCAACATCATTCTTTAAAGACATGGAAAAATTGATCACCAGATTGATATGACAAGGAAAGAGACCTCAGTATTGCTTAAGAAGAAGAACAAAGTTGGAAGCCTCTCAACTGTCTGATCTCAAAACTATGATACAGAAACAGTGGTCAAAACAGCCTGGTATTGGGGCAATGAAAGATACATAGATCAGTGGAACAGAATTGATTACCCAGAAGGAAATCCATCCACATACAGTCAGCTGATCTTTGACAAAGGGCCAAAACACATTAAATGGGGAAGAGATTGTCTCTTAAACAAATGGTGCTGGTAAAACTGGAAATCCATTTGCAGAAGTAAGAAACAAGACCCATCTCTCATGCAATATACAAAAACAAACTCAACATGGATTAAAGACCTAAATGTAAAACTATAAAGAACATAAATGAAAAACTAGGGGCCCTAATACATGGCATAAATACACTGTCAAACATAACTAAAAACACACAAACAGTAGAAGATAAAATAGATGTCTGGGACATACTAAAATTAGACGAGTATGTGCATCAAAAGATTTTGCCACAGAATGGGGAAAAACTTTTGCAACAACATATCAGACAAGGGACTAATCTCTAAAATTTATAGAAAACTACAGCACCTCTGCAAGAAAAAGACAAACAACCCAATTAAAAAATGGTCAGAGGACATGAGTAGACGCTTCACCAAGGAAGACATTTAGGCAGCCAACAAACATATGAAGAAATGTTCACGATTATAAGCCACTGTTGTTGTTGTTGTTAAGTGCCATCAAGTCAGTTCTGACCCAAAGCGACCCTGTACAGAGTTTCCAAGGAGCAACTGGTGAACTTGAACCACCCTCCACACCATCCATTAAAGAGATGCAAATCAAAACAACCATGAGATATCATCTCACCTCAGCAAAGTTCAAAAAAACAGAAAACAATAAATGTAAATGCTGGCGAGTGTGTAGAGAGACTGTGACTCATCTACATTGATGGTGGGGCTGTAAAATGGTTCAACCACTGTGGAAAATGCTATGGTGCTTCCTCAAAAAGTTGGAAATAGAAATACCTTATGAGCCAGCAATCCCTCTATTTGGTATATATCCACAAGAAATAAGAGTCAGGACACAAATAGATATATGCATGCCCATGTTCATCGCAGCACTATTCACAATAGCAAAAAGATGGAGACAACCTAAATGCTCATGAATGGAACAATGGACAAAGTTTGGCACATACACATAATGGAATACTATGCGACCTTGAAGAATAACGATGACTCTGCAAAACCCCTTATAACATGAACTTGGAGGACATGATGCTGTGTGCAATTAGCCAATCACAAAAGAGCAAATATTGTATGCGACCACTATTGTAAAAGCTCAAGAAAAGGTTTTCATGCTAAAATAAAATTTCCTAATGGTTACCAGGGATGGGAGGGAAGAGAGAATAATTAACCCACTGGCTAGAGGGTAGACACGTGTTAACTCAGGTGACAAGGAGGGCAATATGCAAAAAGAGGGAGGTTGGCAGAAGAACGATGAAGATAGGTAAAGACGCAGGGAGGTGTGCAAGGGTTAAAGGGGATGGAGACAAATAGTGTTATATACACAACTGTGGAACAACCGTGTTCTGCATGTAGCTACCTGGGCAGAGACACAGGCTGAATGAGTATAGGAGAAAGGCTATGTAGTGGAGCATGAGTAGTATCAAACTTCTTAAGGCAATGGGTTGCTGGGTCTGGTGGCTCAGTACCATAATCTCAGGGGACACCATGGTCAATTGGTATAATATAGTCCACAAAGACAATGTTCTACATCCTATGTGATGAATAGCATCTGGGATCTTAAAAGCTCAAGAGTGGCCATCTAAGGTGTAACTATTGGTCTCTCCATGTGCAGAAGAAAGATGAGTGATGAAAGGGATCACATTTGAAGGTCCTGGATAGAGTGGGAGAAAATGTGAAACAAAACTGAAAATTCTTATTTAAAAAAGAGAGAGAGACTGGGTTTATTGGTCAGAAAGAGACTACAGGAAGACCAGGTTTACTAGTCAAAAAGAGACTTGAGGAACCTGAGCTTATAGACATCAACCACCCTTCAGGTCTGGAAGACACTCCCCCACATGGCTCAATTTTCAGCTAAGCATAGATAGGTGGACAAGAAAACTAGTAAGGTATGTTCACCATGAGATATTCAGCCATTCACAACCAAAAGGGCAACAGTTGCCTAAGGACAAAGTTGAGAAGGGATGGGAGGATGGGTAGGACAAAAGTAGGGATCACAGAAAGAAGGTGGGATAACTGTTGTTGCATGGAGGGGATTGCAATCATTGTGATGAAACACAGTGTGTGATGTATTGAATGTAAAACTGATGATTTTGTCTGTAAACCTTCACTCAATTCACAATAAGTTTTTTTTAAAAAAGCTAATGAGTGTCCATCTAAGGTATAACTATTGGTTTCTCGGTGTGGTGGGGAAAGAAAAGTGATGAAAATTAAAGATGCTTGGAATCAATTAGTCCAATGGATTCATGGAACATGTGAACATCAGTCTCCATGACTATGAGACCAGAAGAGCTAGATGATGCCTGGAAACTACTTCCAACTTCTCTGAAATGGGCCACTTTAGAAGGTCCTGGGTAGAATGGATGAAAATGTGGGACAAAATTATAAATTAAAAAAAAAAAAAAATAGCCAGTCTTACTGGTCAGAAAGAGACTGGAGGTACCTGAGACTCTGACCCTCAACCACCCTTCAGGTCTCACCTTGTGACCCAATTTTCAGCCCACCAGTAGATAGATATATGGTGGGACAACAACACTTGTAAGAAATGCTCACCATGGAACAGTGAACCATTCAAAATCAAAAGGGCAACACTTAGCTAAGGACAAAGTTCAGAAGTGTTAGGAAGACTGGTAGAGTGGAAATAAGAATCAGAAGAAAGAAGTGGGATTATTGTTGGTCCATGGAGGGGATTGCAGTCATTGAGATGAAACAAAGTGTGCGCTTTGTTCAATGTAAAACTGATGATCTGCTCTGAAAACCTTCACTCAATTCACAGTAAAATTTTTCAAAAGAGAGAAAGGGTTGGTAATCTGCTTCCAGAAAGGTCACAGCCTTGAAATCCTATAGAAACGCCTTTCTATTCTACACCCATGTGGTCACCATGAGTCAAAGCTGATTCAATGGTAAATACAGTAAATAAAATAAAATCAACCTTAAGTGTGGGTCAGATGAGTGATTTTCAAACTAGCATGTGTGATGATAGACCATAAAATGACTTCCTAAAGGCATCAGGTCCTAAACCCTAGAATTTGTAAATCTTATCTTATTTGAAGGAGTCCTGGTGTGGTGCTGTAGGGTAAGCACTGGACTGCGAACCACAAGGTCAGCAGTTCAAACCCACCAGCAGCTCCTCGGAAACTCGATACAGAGTCACTGTGAGTCAGAACTGACTAGATGGCACTTAACAACAACAACAATCTCATTTGAAAACAGGGTCTTTGAAGATGTGATTAAGTTAAATATGTCAAGATGGGAAGATTATCTTAGATGACCTGAGTGTTCCCTAAATGTAACCACAAATGTCCTTATAGGAGGCAGACAGACACAAACACAAACACACAAATACAGAAGAGGTGGAAGCAAAGTGACCATGAACTGAA